GCAGCACCATCGGAGACCACGTAGTGTCCTCCACTATTCACAGCCACCCACCCTTTGAGAATGGAGAACACATCCGACTCGTCGCCCGTGTAAAGAGCGTGTAAAGACTGACATCTCACCGGTGCTGCAGATCTACAACAACGAGCTCGACCTCCTTGATGAAGATGATGCCGCAACTGCACCCACGTACTCTAATATTCAGGCCGCACTGTACAGACACAGAGCCAAGTCCATCCCACCACTGCCTGAGAGCAGGGCTGGCGTCACTCTAGAAGGAATATGGACCCAGACCGATGATGGCCGAGAGTTCCTCTGTGTAGACGACGGTGAAGATGACAGACTTTTGCTGTTTGCTACAACCGAGATGCTGGAATTATTGAGCGACGCTGACATTCTCTTTATGGATGGTACATTCTTTGTGTGTCCTAACCTGTGGCTACAAGTGTACATCATTCATTGTCTGGTGAATGGTAAAATGTTTCCTGTCGCTTTTGCGTTGCTTCCCAACAAGACCAAGCGGACGTATGTTAGGCTTTTCACTTTGCTGAAGGATATTGTTGTGAGACGACTTGGCATCGAACTTTCACCAGAAATATTCCAGATCGACTATGAAGCAGCAGTTATCAGTGCTATTAGTGAAGTCTTCCCCGACAGTTCCGTCCGAGGTTGCCTATTCCATTATTCTCAAGCTTTGTGGCGTCAAGTTTTGGAGAGGGGGACTGTCTCGCGACTACATGAACAACCCAGCAGTCCAAGCCCACGTTCGACGAGCAGCTGCTTTGCCACTCCTTCCCCTGAACCAGGTCCAAGATGCTTGGTTTGAAGTCATCGAGCAGTCTCCCGACGGCGACAGAGTAGCAGCCTTCAACGACTACGTCACCAGCACCTGGGTTGAAGATGATGCCAAGTTCCCAGCACACATCTGGAACCAGCACGAAAACACAGGCCCGCGCTCAAACAACCATCTTGAGGGATTCCACTCTGGCTTGAAGAAACGCATACCCCGATCACACCCCAACATCTACCAATTCGTAAAGGAGCTCAAGAAGATCGAGAAGGCAGACAGGCGCACAAGACGACAGTTTGGACTTGGAGGAGCAAGGAGACCACGAGCACGTGTAGACCGTGATCGAGATCAGAGGATCGAGAGACTCAAGGTGCAGCTTTCCACCGGTGTGAAGTCTGTGATGCAGTTCCTTGATGCTGTTGGCCACATCCTCAAGCTAAACTGAGAACTCAATTCAATCAAACTCATAACTCTGTGTGCTCCTGATGACAATGAAGTGCTTTATTTATTTTAATTTAAAATCAAAGTTATTAATGTATTAAAGTAATGTGAATCACATACATTTGTTTGTTTTCTTATCCCTTAGGCTGGTCCATTATTCCATGGGTAACATAGGCAGGAAATGGTGTGCAATGGTGCATAAAGTTGTTTTGATAAGACTGTAGGCGAAACGGTGATGTAGGCGATATGAGGACAGGCCGCAATCAAAACATGTTGATAAATTATTATTAAATTTGACACACGCTTTAACACTTGCGTAGAGGGCTTGGATTGATTTAAGCATTTTGCTGCTTACTCCTCTTAGCCTTAAAATATTCCACAGTTTTGTCCTATTCACGAAGTCGAAGGCTTTGGAAAAGTCTATGAAACATGCATACACTTTACCTCTCTTTTTTGAGAGATAGCGTTCAATAATGGACTGTAGGATAAAAATGTTAGCAATAGTACTGTAACCTTTGCGAAACCGCGCTTGCGATTCAACGATTTTTTCATAGCAAGAGCACCAAAATGTTAGTCTATTATTCAGAATATGTATGTACAGCTTGCTGAAGATACTTGTAATTGATATACCTCTGTAATTGTTTACTACACTAGTGTCCCCTTTTTTATGTATAGGTACAATAAGACCCATACACCACGATTCTGGAAAATACGCTCGATCAAACAGAACATTGAATAGCAACTGAATATAGGGAACTAAAATATCCTGTGAGGACTTAAAAAATTCTGCTATGATATGATCAGGCCCAGCACTCTTGGATGATTTTAGTTCTGTAATCGCTGCACAGATCTCATCTCTTGTAATAGGAGCGTCAAGTATACTAGGCTGTCTTGATCTATCTTCTCTTCAATATCATGATCGATAGAATGTAAATCGACATTAAATGTATCCGTATGTTGAAATATGTTTTGAAATGTGGATACCACGAGTCCATTGTTATGTTGGGAATAGAATTCTTAGATGAAGAAAGCCTGCACATGGTGTTCCAGAACAATTTTGAGTTATTCAGATTTGTAAGTAATTTATCTTTTACAGATCCGTAGTAATTTTTTTTTTAGATCTTAAAGTACAATTGTACTTGTTTCTGGCGTGTACATACTTTCGTAGCGATGCTCCATCGTTAAAATGCCTAAAACACCCCAGAAGTCTGTCTTTCTCATGTCTTAGAAATGTGCACTCTTTGTCAAACCAAGGTTGTGAATTTCGTCTATTTATGCCATGTTTGCGTTTCATACACTGTGCAGCTTGACATATTGCATTTGTAAGAAATGTTACTGCGTTGTTAATATCTGAAAGAACGTTATCACAAAAGCTTTCAAGCAATCTAGATATATCAGGTGAAAGTAAATTCTCCTGAATTGGCCGACCTTGTCCACATCCCACTTAAATCTAAACTTCGCACCCTCGCCACGTGCATCCTGTGTTACATTACCATCCTCGCGTAGAGTGGCGTGTATGCCACGTGACTGAAACGTACATCGTACAGGTAAATGATCAGACTCAGACCTCGTAACGACATCGAATTCGTGACACAATGTGAATAAAGAACTTGAAGTGATAATAAAGTCAATGACACTTGTACCCACTGCTGAAACAAAAGTATAATCACCAACACCTGCATCTGAACCACATCTTCCATTCATGATAATGAAGATTGAAGTAAATACAGAGCTGTAGCAATGAACGCCCGTATTTGTTTATCACCATGTCACGCGAATGACGTGATATATTACGGGTATCGTGTATATATGAGCAATGGTCTAAACCAACATGACTCGAAATATCATGTAGAATGTAATCCAACTCTATACCTGTTCTTGCATTAAAATCCCCACCTAGTAGTACATCTACATTGCCAAGCTCTTGAATTATGTCAAGTAATGATTCTTGTAAAATACGTATACCGCACTTAGTGGGCTTGTTGTTATACCATGGAGAACTTTCTGGGTGTATGTACACACAAGCCATAAGCGTATCTTTATTTGTAGAGAGCATAGATTTGTCAAACACAATAAAAATTGCATTCTCAGTACATTTGTGTAACTTAATGAACTTCTGTATACTCCTTCTAACTAACACTAGAATGCCGCCTGATAGTCTTCCTGCATTGGATAGTTTCACTGCTGGAACACTATAACGCGCATACTCAGGAAATCATCTTCAAGAGAAGTATGATCATGCCAGGTCTCAGTGAGTCCCACAATGTCATGGTGTGCTAGGAAGGATAAGAAGACATTATCACACACCTTAGAATACAGTCCATTAATGTTCCTAAAAAGGAAACTAATACAAGATTCCGCCTGGGCGGGGCCACGCCCCTATCTTTTATCATTCTGCCCACCCTTCCTATGGGCTCGTAGTCGAGGGCGAGTTTTGGAAACACAAACTGGATAGCTTTGATAAGGGTGTTATACGCCGTGCAATTTATAAACTGTTTGAACGCAAAATCCCACTGACGTGTGCTAAAATACAAGGTGAGATCAAAGATACAATAAATGCGTTGTTGTAATTCCGCTAGAGTCCTCCACCAGCAGTGACACTGACACTTGATATTTTGAGACGGTCCCTGACATGTACTGCCCGTGCGTTACATAATGCGGTCACCCTGTCTGCCTGCCAGGTGGGTCACAGTATAGTTTGTTTCTTAGAAGTGTTTCTACAATGGAATCTTTTCTAAGTTTTTCGATATTTTACGAGTAATCATTAAGATTAGGGAATGGTACATCGTGATTACTCATATGCCATATTAGGTCGAGGTGGTATGAATGATTATATATGAGTTTTGAATCTGAAATATCAACCGTTATCAAATAATTTCCAAAAAGCATTTTCCAAGCATTTCTGGCCTTACTTTTGTTTTTTAGTCATCATTGGGGGACTTGAGAATATTCCGTAGCCCAGCACTATATATAGTCATGGAGTATGCTGTTTGTTTTTCTTTTCGTTTTTATGTATTGGGGTACATCATAACCCGGAATTCCCACATGGCACACGTTAAGATTTACATCCAGCTCGTACCCATGACCATATCGATATTCTCTTGTCTTGTAACCAAAATGCCCTCAACCCGGCCAACAACATATTCCATGGATTTGTATGTGTCAGTGGCAAAATTGAAAGTAGCAGCTATCCCTGTCTTTTACGGAAATTTGAGGCTGGAGTTATATTCCAATTATCTTTCTTCATGTCATTCTAATTAATGCCATAGGATCTCACAAAGAAATGTTGAATCTTCTCCATCACATGTCAAGTATGCACGATGGAATCTTCAAGTTTTACAAGATGCTCATATGTTTTTCATTTGCGCGACTTTCGTGAAACAAATGAAGTAAGGACATGAAGATTTGAGGTTCACGACCTGTCCAAATTTATTTGGATACGGGTAGGGCACCAGGCTGTTCTTTCCAAACTGTGCGAAATAATAAAGCATTATTGATACTCTCATCAACGAGTGGAAACTGATTTCTAAATGTCACGAAATTCACTAAATGTACTACATTTGTATTTCCAAGACGGAAATACCTCTGAGCATCATAACAAACTATCACGTTGTGTTATTAAACCTACTTCAGCTGTCTGGCAACAGCATTGTCTATGATAATTGTATACTTGACAGTAAAAAACTGCAAGAAAATGTAGTTCAAAATAACCTATCCATAGCGTGCGCTTGTTTTTGCCCGAGTCTGTACGTGTTCGTAAGGGAGACAACTCTATTATTTTCGTGTAAGTAATGTTTACTTCCGCTATATAGCACGTGTTCACACTGGCGACCGTGTTACTCATTAACATTGAAAGTGTTCATAAAACACAACGAAGACGTTATCACAGAAACGTAAGTAGTTTCCAGACAAATTATACATGTCATACAATTAATGTTTAATGTACGTACATTGTTCATAGCGTTGTGGCAGTTTAGGATCAATGTCTGTAATTAAATCTATGATGCTCATGACAGTTGGATGTAGCTGTACTGCAGTATTGTACACAACGAATTCACAGGTCTGTGTGTATGATTATAACTCATGTTAGCATTTCGTTTCAGATTTATAATTTGAAACAACAAAGTTTCATGACATCAGTCAAGTAAACATGTCTTTAGAAAACACTGTGAAAGAAAGCCAACAGAGGACCAAAAAGAAGAAAAGGCAAAAACTGTCAGAAGCACACCAGGAATCTGATGATATTGTAAAAGAAAGAAAGGTCAAGAAAAGAAAAGAGAAATTTTCATCAGAGAATGATGAAAATACTGCTGTTAGTGTGAGTCATTCTAAAACAAAGAAGCATAGGACAAAAAAACATTCTGAAAATGAGACTGTTGAAGAGATGAAAGAAGATGTTGGGGTTACAGATGGTAAACATAGTAAAGCTAAGAAAAGAAAATCCCAATCTGAAGGTCAAGATGGTGATCAATGTGTGAAGCAACACCAGGATCATGGTATGAAAAAGGAGAGAAAGAGAAGAGAACGGAAGGACAAATTTAAAGACAAAGTTCCAGAATTTCTCAAGCTTGTGAAATCTAAAAATCTGAAAGAGGAAGAGCAACCAGTAACAGTCCCCAAAACACCTGAAGAAATTGCACTGGAGAAAATGAAAGAAGAGAAAAGGGAGAGAATGAAAAAGAAGAGGCAGCTAAAGAAAGCTAACAAGGGAAAGAAAATAGAAAGCACTGTTGCAAAAGATGCTGCCTTGACATACTTGAATCAGTGGTACTATCATCGAGCTGTGTGGCTTCCAGAAGGTTCGTCAGGTCTGGTTGCTGGGACACATGTATGATATCAACATGGTGAGTTGTGAGTGGATGGACTTTACTTCCAAATTATTAGCAAAATTAATCACTGAATATTTTGGTTTATTCATTGCACAGACTGGAACCAAAGGCCACACTCAGAAACATAAAATAAAATATGAAACCCTTGTTACATCCTCTCATTGGCTAAATGGGCCAAAAGTATTACAGTCATATTATGACTTGAAGGAACTTTAACATGTCAAGTTTTTGTGGGATATATCTTTTGGGAGTCCAAGGGACTATAGTCCGTTTGGCTCAAAAGTGGACCGATGAATTGCAATCTAACTCGAAAACTAATAAACATATAATACTCAATGAAACACTGATCATAATCAAAACATCAGACCAACTCTGTGATTTGTTTGCAGAATTTTTTTCCTAAGATTCAAAAAAAGTTGTTTAACAAACTATCATGAAAATTTTGACACAGTTCACTATTTGTTACGAGGAGGAGTGCAGAGAAAGGACAGCCAGATGTTAGAGAAGCACGCGCTAAGTGCCGACAAAGTTATTGATCCATTAACCTGTGCTGTGCCGTCTCCATCCTTTCTCGCACACCGGCTGTCCCTTTCTCTGCACTCCTCTCTCGTAACAAATAGTGAACAGTGTCAATATTTTAATGATAGTTTGTTAAACAACTTTTTATTACAGGACATAAATTCTGCAAAAGCCTCATAGAGTTGGTCTGACGCTTTGATTATGATCAGTGTTTCATTGAGTATTTTATGTTTATTAGTTTTCGAGTTAGATTGCAATTCATCGGTCCGCTTTTGAGCCAAACGGACTATAAAAGCCTTCAACTGTAGGGGTGTCATGCTGCAAAATGGCGGTCCTAGGGAAATGTCAAACATTGAATACGTACTGTTACTCTACAGCAAGTGACATAAGATTGCACGTGCACAGTGCCTGTTAAAAATAGATACACAGACATGCTGCAATGAACTAACTGATTGCTATGACAAAATGAACTAACTGATGGATATGACAAACCTGTATTTTCCCTTATCCTGACTCATGCTCTTTTGCTTGTCTTCTTCTTCTTGCGAACATAGTGGAACACTTGTATCTCCTTAATTGAAGCTCCCTTCAATGTAAAATCATTAATTAGTACTCACCAAGAGTTGCCTCCCTTTGCCTCTGCGCGGGAAAAGGTGGCACCACCCTCTGGCCTCATGCTTCACTCTCTCCTTCTTCGCCCAGTGAGCAGGATGTGAGAGCGCCTGTGTCTCCTTACACACTATATCCTTTGGTTATTCTTAGTTAGTTACCTCCTATAGGTTACTATAGAGGTATAGCTAGTATCCTTCATTAATATGTATTGATAATTAATCGTATTTCTACTGTTTATTCACGTGAGTTCCTGATTGTTCAGATAGTTTTACGTTGATGAAAATCTGTACTATTTGTAGATTACGTTTTTCTGCTGCTGACCCGCATGTAATATGCCCTAGTTGTTCTACGCCTTGTGCGTTTGATTCACGTTGCAGTTACTGCATTAATCTATCTAATTCTGCTTTTAATAAATATCATCTTTGCGTCTTGAGACGTGCAGCAGATAGGTCACGCAAACAAGGGTTAGACATGGCCGATACATCGGAACCCCTAGCCAGTCAGCTGCTGTTGGTCGACCCCCTCCCGTCTGGTGTTCCGCTAGAGTTTCCCTCGGAGGAGGGGCGTGGGATGCAGTCCGCCGCCTCCAAGAAGCGTCCTGCCTCCCCAGACATCCCGTCATCGCAGCCAAAGTCTAAGAGGGCCTCGACGTCTACTCAACGCAGACTCCGTACCCCCAGGGCAGCGTCTACCTCCAAGGGGAAGTCTACGAAGTCGTCAAGAACTTTCTCGGCCGAGATCGTTCCAGCCGCCGAACTGGGCCTCTACAATGATCAGCCGATCATCATCCCCGACCTACGCCACAAGAAACGACCGGTGACATCTACAGTGACGTCAGCAGAGATCGCCATGCAGCCTGATGTGTCTACACCAATGCCGCTAACATCGCAGAGAGGGCACCGACTACATCGTCGCAGACCGTCCCAGATGAACTGATGCGGAAAATCATGATCATGATGGAGGACCACTACAGACTGGAGAAACAACCAGCCAAGGGCCCGAGCCTTCGCGAAGGCTCCAACGCAGACGACACCCCAGAGGGACCACCCCGTCAACGTAGCGGCCACGACGAAGCCACCTTCGCGAAGGAAGTCACAGACCACCTCGACGAAGGACCCAGATGTACAGCCTTCGCGAAGGCGGGATAGATCATCACCTTCCTCGGCTTCATCCTTAGATGCGGACTCAGACCACCAGACTTCACGGAAGCCTTAGCGAAGGTCAAGTCGCCGTTCCCCAGGACCGGATGCAGAGGAAGCTTCGCGAAGGCCTTCGCGAAGGGCACCTTTATCAGGCTCCAAATCATCTTCGTCCAGAAGGACATCGAGGGACTCCACAAGAGCTCCGCGAAGCTATCAACATTCACCTCACAGATCTCCGCGAAGGTCAACCCATAGACGCAGATCGTCAGGGCCCTCACCAAGACGATCCCCTCGCCATTCTCCATGCCGATCACCTCACCGTTCACCGCGCCGATCTCCTCGTACATCACCACGTCGATCTCCTCGCAGGTCACCACACAGGTCTGCACAGAAGTCCACAGTCAGGTCTCCCCTAACGTCACCCGGCACAGTGGTAGAAGCACACAGTCCACCATCTGAAGAGCATCAACCTCTCATCAGCGATCCCGGGGTAGAAGATGATGGAGGCATCATTTTCTCAGACGCTGAGATACGATATTGGATGGTAAACAACCTAGACCTTTCTTCACCTTCCAAGAGTGGTAACTCGGCGCTTACTTACCTGATGAAGGAGGACAATGCAGACGCCGTCACCTTACCTCCGATCGACCCGATTGCAGCGGTACCACAGAATCTAGATACAGCCTTCCATAAAGCCACGAAAGTTCAGACGCCACACCTACCGAACTTTCACGCAAAGAAGTTTTCAACTCATAACATGGACCCCTTCCTCAAGGCACAAGACATCGATGACAACTACAAGCTGATCAGCGATGTCAAGAATAAGAACTACAAGATTGACGATCGCAAGCTGGTGCAGATAGAAACCATGACGAGGCGCATGTTCTTTGGCCTTAATAGATCTAGAGCGATCAATGAGACTCTTATCACCAGATTTCGCGTGACACTGACTTCTGAAGATGATAGGATGATCTACTCGGCCCTACTGATGCAAAAGAAGGACCAGCAGTTCCTAACAGATCATCTCACATCAGTCTCAGCAGCTAACCTTAGCTCGTCGTCAAGGCCTCCTCGCTTCCTGCAGCTGGGGTGAGCAGTTTACAGCTCCACTCTATACAGCCCCGTGGTCCTCTCCATCCATCTTTGACGGAGGAATAGAGAAAGTCTCCAAGGAAGTCACTAAGGATTCCAGAGAAGTCCTTATGATTAAGTCGATGGACATGCTAGCCAGCGTCATCAGGCAGACTTCACAAAGATATTCAGGGAGATCTAAATTCACTGGATTACAGAGAGCACGGGATAGGAAGATGGCCAGCTCCAGGGGAAAAGATTCTTTTCGTCGCCCATATGGCAACTATAGAGGAGGATCAGGAAGAGGCAGGGCACCCAGAGGTTCCCGCAACTATAAACGTTGAAAGACAGGTTCGGAACGACTGGAGTCTTCCACCCCCAGCCGTTCCAGTACAACCGTCACAAGTGGGTGGACGCCTTCAACTACACTGGGAGAACTGGGGAATGTTACAAGACCCTTATGTCTCCAACATTCTTCAACACGGATATCGTATCCCACTACAGGCCACGCCTCCGCTGACAGTCAACCCTCACAAGTTCGACTTCCAGGCACAACAACTACCAAAGTTAAGAGAGGCTGTTACATCGCTCTTAACCGAACAGGCCATAGAAGTACTAGATCAAGTAAACGTCGAACCAGGCTTCTACTCCCCAGTTTTCCTAGTACCCAAGAAAAACTCCAAGGAGAAATACAGACTCATTTACAACATGAGCATATTCAACAGATATTATCCACGCAAACCGCCAAAGTTTCGCATGATACATCTACCTCAGTTACGGCAGTTGATTCGTCCCATGGATTACATGGCCAGTATAGATCTGCAAGACGCATATCTACACGTCCCGATACATCCCGAATCCAGGAAATACCTACGATTTACACTAGACGGGCTGCATTACCAATGGAAAGTACTCCCATTCGGCATATCATCAGCCACCTGGCTATTCACGAGGATAATGAAACCTATCGTCACCTATCTACATCGTCTAGGGCTACGCAGTGCGTTCTACCTCGACGACAGGATACAAGTAGATCAAGATCCACAGCATCTCAAACTACAGTTAAACTAACACAGCTAGGATGGTTAGTAAACTTACTCAAGTCGGACCTAGTACCATCGCAAGATCTGCAATTTCTAGGCATTCGATTTATCACGACTCTCAACCGTATCGTCGTGCCAGAAGACCGATGGCTCAAGATCCAACAGACCATTCCTCTAGCCCTACTCTCTCCGTTACCACTACGACATTGGCAGAGCCTGTTGGGTCTCCTCACGTCAGCCCAAGACATGACAGCCAGAGGCAGAATACAGTTACGTCCGTTACAGGTCTTCATCAATGCACATCTCAACGACCTACAACCATTCAGTCTACCGAAACATCTCAGACCTCATCTACTATGGTGGACCAGGAGGTCGAATGTCTGCGAAGGTATTTGTTTAACAGAGCAGGAATTCAAAACCCATCTATATGTAGACGCGTCGCTCCAGGGTTGGGGAGCTCATCTCGCCAACCGGACGGCTTCAGGGTTATGGAATCAGCAAGAAAGCAAGCTCCATATAAACATGTTAGAAGAATGAAAGCGGTAATCAACGCCATACTTCATTGGAGCACCATTCTACAAAATGCGCATCTGATGATTCATACCGACAACTCGACAGTGGCGTTTTA